AAAAAAAAAAAAAAAAAATGAGTATGTTTTCTAAAGAAGAGATCGAATCAAGTTGGCGTTTGTGGGAGAATAGGATACAATCGAGAAAGGAGAAACAACGACGATCGCAATGGGATCCGACGGAAATATTCAGGTATGTGAAGGCTGAATTCAAAAATGTGAAGGTCACCTTGAACGATTACCACGAACGTGTAAAAAAGTCGTTGCTTCAAATACGAACGGAGATCAACGAGGCAAAAAAGTTTTTGGACGAGGAGGAGGATAAGATCGAGGTCCCGGTAATCGAAGAATACGAGACGCACATGGAGGACGATGAAGAGGTGGAGACGCCCCAAGTGATGGTCATTGGCGAGTCCTTGAGGACAAGGACTCATTCGAAGAGGGGAGGAATGATGCGGAAGTGGCTTTCGAGGCCCGAGCACGCTGAGAGCCAATGGTCGAGCCAATGGTCAAGACAATCCGAGAAGGCCGAGAAAAGGGCCAAAAGCACGCATGCATGGCCTAAAAGACGGGTACGAGCCCGTATGCGAGGTTCACGAGGAAGGCGACGTGAGTCGTGGACACACGCATGGCCTCAGGCTTATCGCACGGGGTCAAGACGCGCATGGCCGAAACCTTGAAATCATGCGGGTCGACGACGAGGACTAGGTGAGACCCGATATGAGACACACGCACGAGAAGGTTCGAGAGGCCTCGTGAGGCGAGGAATAGCGCGCAATCAAGCACGCGAGGACGTACACGGACGTGATGCGCGAATACGCGAGGCGAGCCATGCGAGCCGAGGAACGAAGATTCTAGAAGAATATAATTATATTAATTATGTAATTCTCATTTTATTAGCTTAAGTTAGTTGATAGTGGCGTTAGTATAGTATTGTTAGTATTTTAATTAGCGTTATATATATATATATATATATATGTTAGCGTGAATTAGATGTTAGTAGTTAGGTTAGTAATATTTGTTTGGTTAGTGTTTTGTTAGGTTAGAATATATTATTCAGCTGTTAGTATTTGTTTAGATTTAGGAGTTTATTTATTTTGATAAGTCTTGGGATGCAAGACATTTAGTTACCTTAGGATTAGATATTATTTCCTAGTTAGAATTATACCTCTCATAGGACTAGATCTAGTTTTTCTTATAAATACCCATGTACTCATTCAATTTTAGAC